CCCCCCCCCCCCCCCCTTCGATGAAACTAAGGCGCGAGGATTCCTTCAGGAACCAAACGCCACTTTCCAACCGGAAAAGCTCACCCGGAAGCACTTTCTCGTCAAACAAGATGGCGGCGCCCAGCAAACTGGCGGCCCGGTAGGAAATGTTCCACGGACCGGTACTGGTCCGCGGCCCGGTGGTTGGGGACCCCTGTTCTACAGTATTGCATCCAGAGAATAGAAATTGCCAATCAAGGGATGAGAGATCGTTGTTTATAAGATCATAGTTGCCTTTTTTGAAGTTATAATTTGGGATTCCATCATTGTGATGATTTTTGTGTGGACATATGTTGAGACAAAAGTCTATCATGTTGTGGTCACTGTTGGAAAAGGGTTCTTTAATTTGCATTCTGTAAATTGAATTCAAACTATTGCAGAAGATGAGATCGAGGCAGTTGTTAAGTCTAGTGTTGTTGGTTAGTAGTTGTTCTAGTCCCAGATTTGTTACTGCATTGTAGAAGGTTGCATGTGTGGGTTCAGTTGTACATTTGTTAAGGGTCCAGTTAATATGGGGTAGATTGAAGTCACCAAGAAAGATAAAAGCGTGTGGGCAGTGTATTTAGCTTGTTTGCATGTTCAATGTCATAATCAGGGGCTCTGTAACTAGTAAGAACCGAAGTGTGATATTTAAGGACAGTTCACAGACGATGGTCTCAGGAATAGCAAGCTCCTGGGTAACTTGGATGTTTTTTAGATGTAGGGACTTTTTAAATGTAGCATGTAGAGCTTGGCTATCTGTTTTTCAACATCTATCCTTCTGCAGTTGTTAGTGGGGATCCAGCACCTCTGTACTGGAATGTCTTGGAAATGCAATATATATGGAGTTCAGGAGGGATTTATTTTTATAAGTAATGAGAGCTGTTTCTATTGCTGTTATCCTGAGTCAGGTTTCAACACTGAACTGGATCGGGTGAAGAATCTGCCTTTCTGCGAAACAGAGACGTTTGAAATATGGTTTGACCCCCAGAGTGCTGGCTGTGCCCTTGGAGAGATAGAAGTGCTGCTGCCAATCAAGGTGCTTGGAAGGTTTTTTTATACACACACATATGTGCAGAGGCATACACAACTGCACAAACTCACGTACAGAGTTATCTTCCCTAAAAGGGGGAAAACAGACAAAAATTGTCTGGGTCAGACTATGATGCATTAAGGAAGGGGCTCACCACTTCCTTGAATGCAGTTGGATCACCCTCTCTTTCAAGGAGGGGTTAGCCTTTGCCTAAACCAATCACACATACCCTCCCAGGTGGCCATAATCAGCCAGGAGGGACCTGGGTTTGACACAGAAGTGGCCAGACTGACCTCTGAGAAAAGCCGGTCCACTTGCTCAGACTCCACAGAATGCAATTCCCTCACCCCCCCCCCCCACCCCCAGTCACCCACTTCAAGGCCAGAGTCTAACATGGAGTCTACTTGAATCATTGGAATCATGCAATCCTAGCAGATTCCTCCCAGCATCTTTGCAAGCGAACTTCAGAGCTATTCTCCCCAGGAGGGCCTCAGTCACAGTGGATGCAATAAAATTGAAGAAATAGTTGTGCTTCACTACCCTTAGTTCCATGGGGCCCTTACTGCTAGTGGCCCCAGCCTGTGTATGGTCAGACTTGCTCCTGGTGATCCACCAACTGTGCTCTAGGCCTCTCTTCTCCATCTCCCTCGGCTCCTCCAAAAACCAGGGGAATTCTGGGATGCAGGAGTGAGATGAAGGCCATCTAATGTAATCCAGAACCCAGATGCCTTCTCATTCTAGGTAGCCACCAGAGCTTTGGTCAAACCCTGCAACAGATCCTCAAATGATCCCAAGCTCCCTCTGAACCCTGCTGGGTACATTAGCTATCTGGGACAGGTCAATTTAGTAGGTCTGGCCTTCGTGTTTGGGGAGGTGATGTAGAGAACTGCAGGGTTACTGTTTATACTTCAGTCATCTACCTTGTAGGGTTTTTGATAGTGCAATTGTAATTTGCAGGATCAGGACGCCCTGAGTTACATGAGTTACAGGAAAGGAAAAGACAGGGGATATGACGTGAGAGCTGGGCAAGTAGATTTGAACAGCTTATCTGATGAACAGTTTAGTTAGCCTGCCTGTAGAACCAACAGCTTATCCTAACAACTACAAGAGCAGAATGACTGTGCCTTTATCTAGTGGAGTTGGCTTGGATATGTGAACCAGACCACCCCTGCTTGGTGGGAAGGAACTTAAAGGCTAAAGGAAAGATCCTCTGCCCTGGGAGTCCCACCTGCTTACTACAAGATGGAGTGGAGCAGTGGTTGAGATGGCTCCTCCAGACTGTGATGGCCTGCAGGTAATGGGGGCTGTCCTTCAGAGCCTGAATTGCCTGGATTGTTCTCATTTCCTTTTTCCAGTTGTACTCTCTAATCAGGATAAAGGGCCCAGGGAAGGTGGTGTCCATGTGCCTTGCAGCATTTGACCTATGGTTATGCCAGAAGTTCTGAGGGTGAGGATAGATGGGTCTGGGGGAGAATGGAAGTCATATACCATGCATTACGCTCAGGAGGGTTTGATACGATTTGCTGCAGGTTATGGCTGGTCCCACGTTCCACATCTCTCTTCGGGCCACCGTGATCATGCCATCTCTCTGCATGTCCAATGACAATCTGGAATTCTCTGCTGTCCAGTGTGGACAGTGCCAGGTGGAGACCATCCAGCTTCACAATCAGCTGCAGGTCGTATGCGAGTGGTTTGCCACAAGCAATGAACAAATGAAAAAGGTAACATAACACTGAAACAGATCTCTCTTTGCTCTTCTCTGCATCTTGAAAGACAGCTTGATCTGTAGGAATTTGGAGTGGGATGGAAATTAAGATACAGTTTTGGTTCTTGGGCTGAGCCCTTTTGATCTGTGTAACATTCAGGAAAATTTTAGAAGTGAAAAACAAGATTTTGTTTTCATATAAATTTAATAAAATAAATTGCAAAAGATTTGCCACAGACGCTTGATTACACAACTCTTGATTCTGTTTTGATCCATGCAAATCCTTCACAATGCAAAATAAAACTCCACACAGCCTAATGACCCTATACTCTATTTGATAAGTTTTTAATCACATATTATGGATCAGAAATATGCCTGTGCAGTGGAGAAGATGGAGTTGGATTCTTGTTTCTCTTGAAACCTCCATTAGCCTCACTTGCTTGCAAAAGAAAAACCTTTCATCCTTGTTCATATGAATGGAAAACTCACCTTACTTCCAGGGACACCATAAAGGTGTTTCTAGAAACTCAGTCAAAAGTTTGGTGTGGGCTGAGGCAATAATTCTCATCCTCCAGGGTGTGCTGTCTTTCAGAAGGATTCTTCAGAATAGCATAGAGGCAAGCTTTGCTCATGACTTCATTGTTTGTTGTAAGCTCAGGTGGATAAGCACATGCCGATAACCTTGCGCCGGAAAATGCGTGAACCCAAGGTGAAGCCCCATGTCTTTGAGATGATTCCCCCGTATGGGATCCTGGCTCCCGGAGAGCGGCTCAATGTGCAGGTCAAGTTTGCCCCAAGAGAAGAGGTATGAAATGACAAAGCTGTTTGGAGCACAAGAAGTATCTGAAGAGCAGAGATGCATTGATGGCAGGAGCGGTGAAGAAAGACAGGGCTTCATTGGACAATTCAATTCCTCATGCAAAGTGGATTTATTAAGGAGGCATTATGCCTGGATGTTTCCTCACCTTCCCTTTCAGGATTAAGTCCATTCCTGCTCTTAAATTGGCTTTATATGGAAGGGCAGCTGGGCTTCCCGTTCTGAGCTCAGGCACTATGAAGGGAACGATACCTCAAAGTGACTGACCAGACACTGATTACATTCCAATAGTGCAGATAGACAGCAAATCTTTTGGGTTAACCCTTTGCATTTCTGTCCAACAGGACAGAACCCAAATCTCTCTTTCCAGCTGTTCTGAGTTGAACAAATACTACCAGCTGAAGCTGTGAGACTTCTGGGTTTAGATGATTTGGGTTGCCTTTTTATCTGTTCTTATTTGTAATAAAATATTATTTTTTATATCTTAGAAATTGTACCACAATGTCCTGATCTTGAGCATTTCGCAAAGCACTCAGCAACTACTGCTGAATGTCTCTGGGCAAGGTCTGGAGCCACGTCTTGAATTCAGCCCCTCCCTCCTGGAACTGGGGCCTCTCCTTCCCTATGGCATTGGGGATGAAGCTGAAGTGGTAGTGAAGAACCCCTGCAGCTTCCCTATTGAGTTCTACTCCTTAGAATTTGACCAGCAATATCTTCTAGAAGAGCGGGTGAGCTATCTGTGCCAGTTAAGAATAACCCATAGTATTTATTGAATAAATAATCCTCCTCCAAGAAGATATTCTGAGATCAGCAATTAAAATGTCTTTTGGATGCAGAAATGTATCACAATGTCTGTAGACCTTAGAATAAGTTGTCCTTAAATCAAGGACCACACTTGAAATGGTTGGGGGGGGGCACTCTCCCAAAAGTAAAAGGCATCAGAGGATTTAAATTTAATTAAACTGATTATACACCATGTACTTAACAGTATTGCTATTGTACCAGCTTCCCTGCTCTTAGCAACCTCCTTACCTGAGTTTGTTGACTCCATGGCCAGGTTGGCAATGGAGTTCCCCAGGCTTATACTCTTGAGGACTTCAGCTTGCCTTCTCTGGGACAGAGTCTGAGATAGTTCAGAATTCACCATAACGGCCTGTTCCCAGTTATCCAGAACCAAATGCATAATAGTGGTCATACATCTGACTATCAGAGCTATGACAGGGTGTTCTGCATTTTGGAGAGAGATTGCTTTCTCCCTGTCTTGGTCAGATCACTCCCTGCTAAGCCTCTAGTTCTCTATCATCTCCTGCCTCGGCAGGGGGGCTTGCCTTATTAGACTGGCTAACTTCAGGGGATTGATTGACCCAACTGGACTCCAGAAGGAGCTTGGCTGGTTCTGGAAGGTCTACAGTCCATTCAAAGCCTTGGTGGCTACTTATTGTAGCCACCCTGCAGTTTCAGGTGACCTGATCTCTCCTTGGAGGGCTTAATGGTGGGATTCACTTACAAGGTTGCTGTGAGGAGTGTATGGTGTATCTTGTGGATATAATTGCTTGAATATAGTTGCATCCAGTTTTGGTCCCCGCACTATAAAAAAGATGTTGAGACTCTAGAAAAAATGCAGAGAAAGAGCAACCAGGATGATTAGGGGACTGGAGGCTAAAACATATGAAGAATAGTTACAGGAACTAGGCATGTTCCTGTAACTAGTGAAGAGAAGGACCAGGGGAGACAGGATAGCAATATTCCAATATTTGAGGGGCTGCTTCAGAGAGGAAGCTATTTTCCAAGGCATTTGAAGGCCAGACAAGGAATAATGGATAGAAACTGATCGAGGAAAGGTTCATCCCAGAAATTAGGAGGAATTTTCTGACACTGAGCACAATCAACCAATGGAACAGAAGTTGCCTTCAGAAGTTGTGGGAGAGGATACATGATTGGCTCTGAGTGATGGTTCATTCTTCCTTGAGGGAGGAGTTGGTTCCAATAGCTTACAGAGATGCTGGCACATCCTCTCCTCAAGAGACTATCGCTCAACCCAACTGTCTGGATAGTTTTCATCCAGTCACAAACCTCCCTTTTATAGGGAAGGTTGTGGAAAAAATGATCATATGGCAGCTTCAGAGGATCTTGGATGAAGTGGATTGTCTGAACTGCTTTTAGTCAGGATTGAAATCAGGTTATGGTGAGGCTAAAAAAGCATTCATTGTGCTCTTGGATGACAGGGGGGAGATGAGGCCAGTATTACCACTCTTGTTTTTTTGAACTCCCAATGGCCTTCAGTATTGTTGATCATGGTATCCTTCTGGATTAGCTTCAGGGGCACTGTGTTGTGCTGGTTCTCCTCCTTCCTTGGGGTCTGTTTCAGTTGGTATTGATGGAGGGAAGCCCACAACCCCTACTTTGAGCTTGGTCCTCTCTCCCTTCCTATTGAATATCTGCATGAGGATGCTGGGTGAGGTGAGGAATCATCAGTATGATGATATACCTAGTTTTACATCTCCATGCTGGGTCACCTGAGGGATGCTGTGGATGTCCTGTCCTAGTGCCGTAGAGACAGTCGTGGCCTGGATGGGATGCAAAGGGCTCTATCTCCGTCCAAACTAGACTGAATGAATTTGGGTGCTTGTGCCTTCTAGGGACAAAGCATAAATGTGCACATTCCTTGACTGATGAAACCCATGCCCAACCTACTGAATGGACTTTGGTTTCCAGCCAAAAATGGAAGATCCCCAGAACCAGGAAACTTCTTGGTTTTGCTTAGTTTGAACCGAAACCTGTTGATCCTTATCCAGGGCCCTACAGCCTCCAGAACAGGTGGATAACAAAACCAAGACAAATCCAAGTCATCAAGAATGCTCAGGAGGAAAAGTAAAGGGGACAAATCAAAATACAAGTTCACAAAGATTACAAAATATATTTTGCTGCAACTTCTATTTTTTTCCATTCATCTTAAGAACTAGACAGGTAGAAACAAGTGGGAGCAGAAGGTCCCTTTAGATAGGTGAAAAAAGCGATAGGTGACATCTAGGATTGTAGAAATTGTCCTTCTAAAAAGAAATGCGAGTTTCTAAGAGTTTCTAAGATAAGAAAAAAATCTAGGTGGATGGGGCATTTCAGAATAAACCCTCACCTGGAATCTGTCTGAGAGTGCCATGCATGAGTGCCAGAAAGTCTTCACTGTTTGCCCTGCCTTGACTGCAGATTTTGCGGATGCTGAAGGGCTACGATAACCACCGTATCCTTCTGCTGCCTCCTCGCATGCCAGGAGAGAAGCTGCCTATTGAAGTGCTGGAATATTTTGAGGAACAAAAGAAGATTCAAGGCGACCAGGAAGGATTGAATCTGGATAATGGTGAGGGAGGGCCCTGTGGCACTGCAGCCAGCCAGGAGTAGCGTGTTTCTGCTCTGTCCTTTTCTGCCCATTGAAAAGAGCAAACTCCCTTCATCTTTTATTAAAGAAACACTCTGGGGCTCTAATTTTCTGCCTCTGAGGAGAAGTCTAGTGATGGTCTTTGTTAATGTCAGGAAAAAAGATAAAGAGGCAGAAATGATGTGCTTCACATAAATTCATTTCATTTAGCCATTGGGACAGAATAACTCCTGATATGTCACAGATGAAAGGTTGCTGCTTAATTGATTTTCTTTTTGAATATGGAATAAAACTTCTGACTCCTTCCTGGAGGAGCAATGTAGGTGTAAGATAAAGGGGAAAGTGCCAGTCATATCCAACTCTAAGGCCCAGTGCTCATCTCCGTTTCTTCCCCGAGGGAGTCAGCACTGACCCTTTCTGTGGGCATGTTGCTGGCATGACTATATGCCAAAGCACACAGAAGGCCGTTATCTTCCAAAATGATACCTATTAATTTGCTGACATTTGCACGTTTTCAAACTGCTAGGTAGGCAGGAATTGGGGCAGGTAACAGGAGCTAATTCGGATCTTGAACCCCAGGATTTCTGTTTTCCAGATGACAAGCTCAACATCTTTAACCACTGAGCCATTGTACCCCCTCATGATTTAAGTATATCTTCGCATTAGTCATATGAATGTGATAAACAAATGTAGAAGTAGAAACAAATCCTTTGAGTAGAAGTCGTTGGGCCGTTTGGCTAGTATGGTCCTTGAAGTATCTTCCATGCAAATGAAACCATTTAAGTGACTATGCAGGCTAACTCCAGTTTCCCTTTGGCAACCAGGAGCAATGGCTGCTTGAGGAGAGGCCAATTGGAGGATTGGTGCTCTGAGCTTGGCTAATTCCAGCCACAATACTAACAAAACAAGCCAGCTAAAGGTGGAAGCTGGGTGCACTGCCTGCAGTCAAGGAGGGGTTGCCCTACCCATCATCTTGCATGGAAATCACATGCTTCTTGTTTGGGAAAGACGTGGAAAGCCCCCCACACAAAGTGAAGTGAAGCCAAGGAGGCCCAATCAGCCTGAAGCTGGGACCCTCCTTTTCCAACACACAGAGCCAGGCTGGAGCAAGGGCTGAACTGGGAGATTGAGTTCTGCCCTTTCTTAGGTACGGCAGCCAGTCCAGACCATCTCACAGGAGGGCTGTGGTGAGAAAACAAGAGGCCAGAGCATTGGACATGTAGACTATCTTGGCCCAAAATAAAGGTGGGGTAAACATCAAATCCATAAAGTAAGATAGACAGAAGAAATTAGATCATTTGGCTGAAATATTTCTCTGCTTTGATTGTTAAGAATTGCTGCCTATTTCTGGCTAGGGCTTATCTCATAGTCTCGTGGTGGAACAATTAATTGCACATTAAATTTCTACTCCAAAATAGCATTGCCTATCAAACAAAAATATAATTTTACCATTGATTTAATGGAGACACATATAAATGCAGCTACGGTGTCTGTTCTGGGCCTGTCTGTGTCCCGGATAGACACAGAACCACAAAGCAGTCCTTGAAGAGGCAGGGAGCAGTCAGGTCAGAGGCCTCTCCCATGGCAGAAATAGTGGCTGCAGTTACTCTCAACACTCTGCTGTGTTTTGCTCTAGAATGCTCCATTGGAAGCATTCTTACGGGTCTGGTGTGCATGGCATCCTTCCTCTTTTTGTTCCCGGACAGAGGAAGAAGAAAGCACTCATTTTTCTGAACATGGAATGAAGCCTCACCCTTCAGTTATGCAAGCAGCAGTCACAGGGGGCTCTGCTCTTCCTTCTCTGTCACTTATGGACAATAACCGGACACTCCAGGCAGAATCCAAAATTGATCAGGAGGAAGAAGAGGAAGAAGAGGGAACGGAAAAAGGTCAAATGCAAGGTGAGTGCATTCTTACAGTAGCTTTTAGATACAAGTGCAGTAAAAAGGATGCCAATAGGAATGACCATAATTGTTTGCTTTCTCTATTTTGCTGGTAGCTTCATGAGTGCTAAAAACAATTGTTATAAATTATTTAAGATAAGTGAAGAACTTGACAGGAATTGTTTTATGCAAAGCTATACTGCTTCAGGCTTTCATCACACACATTCAAACACGGGTGCTTTGGAGACTGTCAGTTTTACTTCAAGGCTGAAGAGTTAACAATGAACAACGGGATGTAAGCAAATCACAGCTGGCTTTGAAATATGAGTGTGCAGAAGAATTGTCCAAAGCTAATCCAGGGTTCTAAGAGCATGGTCAGCCACTGCAGAGGCTCAAGTTTTTTGTTTTGTTTTTTCAAACAGGAACATCACACAAAAGCTGGAATCAGATGATTCCAGCAAAAGAGAGTGTGGCCAGAGCTGCTTCTTAAATAAGGCTGCAGCCAATCATTCATGATCAAAAGGTTTACTCCCTTCCTTGACAAGGGACCTAACAGACCTTTGCTGCTCTGCTCTCTTTTCTACCTGTGCAGGGCCCAGGAGGCTTTACGATGTGCTCATCTGACTTCTCCACATGCTCAGGTGGTGCCTGAGTTTGAATAGCCTCAGTGGATTCCTGATTGTATCTTTTTCCAGGCTGTCATTTCACAGGCTCAGCTGAAGCAGCTTCTTCCAGATCAGATTCAGAATCAGCCCCACGGCAAAGGCTACCTGTCAAGCAAGGGGTGCCTGCTGTGGAACGTTTTTTCTTTACTCATGTGGGGGCTGCATAACCATCCCCTCCTGGAGGCTTTCATTGAATTGAATAGGTGCAAATGAAGAATACTGAACCCGGGCAAAAAAATATACCTGGAGTCAATATCTGCGTTCTATTTTTTATTAATCTGATTCAATTTATTTATGAATGATGGATTAGCCTTTCTAAAAGTAGTTTGATAATGGATGACTACATTTTTTATTTTTATTTTATCTATCACATGGCTAGTCTAGGGAAGAGAAGGACCAGGGGAGACATGATAGCAGTCTTCCAATATCTGAGGGGCTGCCATAGAGAGGAGGAGGGGGTCAAGCTATTTTCCAAGGCACCCAAAGGCCAGACAAGGAATAATGGATGGAAACTGATCAGGAAGAGATTCAACCTGAAAATAAGGAGGAATTTTCTGACAGTGAAAACAGTCAGCCAATGGAACAGAAGTTGCCTTTGGAAGTTGTGGGAGCTTCATCACTGGAGGCTTTCAAGAAGAGTCTGAACTGCCATCTATCAGAAATGATGTAGGGTCTCCTACTTGGGAGCGGGGTTGGACTAGATGACCTACAAGGTCCCTTTCATCTCTGTTAATCTGTTACATCTGTTACATCACATTTACTTGCCACTCATCTCCTAGTTCAGGTGACATATTGCTCGTATTGCTTTATTTGAATTCTGATTTGTCATAGAATGTAAAGATTGGAAGGGATCTTAGAGGTAATCGTGTCCAACCTTCTACAGTACTCATTGTAGAAATCCACCATAGCCCATCCCCAAACAAATTCCTTCCAGCCTCTGCTTAAGCACTCCAAGGTAAAGCAAATACATCACCTCTCTTGAGGTACGTTGTTTCATTATGGAACAGCTCCTATTAGAGACATTTTCCTGATCATCAACCCATATCTGCTTCCTCGTGATTTACGTCCATTGTTTCTTCTTTAATCTAGTGGAACAATTCTGCTCTGTCTTCATGTGGCTGCCCTCTGTATATTTGAAGACTGCTATCTATCTCTTGGAAGACTTCTCCAGGGGAAACATACCCAATGCACACCACTGTTCCTCTTAAGTTTTTCCTTCTTCACCTCTTATTGTTCTGTTCTTCAATTAATGTTCTTTCAAAATGTAGGACCAGCACTGGGTACAATATTTTAGTTGAAACTTCATGCAGAAAAGGAACTTAATGCAGAAAAGGAAGAATTATGACTCCTACTGATTTTGACATTCTTAACTTTTTGTTCATTTAGAACTGCATTTGCTTTTTATGCAAGTGCATTCGATTGTTGTATCATGTTTTTAATAGATTAACAGAGTTGGAAGGGACCTTGTAGGTCATCTACTCCAACCCTCAGCCCAAGCAGGAGACCCTACACCATTTCTGACAGATGGCAGTCCAATCTGTTCAGTCAAGATACCCCGATTCTTTATATATATACTGTACAGCTATGTATAATGTGATTCCTCTGATCCTAGATTCATCCATTTGATTTTTCTTACCCAAATATGGAACTTTGTGCTTTTCCTCTTGAAATTCATTGTGCTAGTTCCTCCTCATTGTGTCTTGTTATTCTGGTGATCCTGAATCTTCCTACTGTCCATTATAGTCATGGCTATTTCCCCAATAGGGCAATTCTATTCTATAATCCTCATGCAAGTTTATGCATGAGGGCTCTACTATCTGCTGCTCAGCGCTTCCTTCCAATATGACAAAGATTTAGGATGTATATTTACCGAGTATGAGTTTTTATCCAGAACTGCATCCATCTAATGATAACATAGTTTAGTCCATATTTTGCCATCTTCTCTACTAGAATCTTGTGGGAAAATCAGTCCAGACATGGTATATTACATTATTATGATCAACTAAACTATGAAAAATGCAGATCAGATTATCTGTTATCTGATATGATTAATTATTGATAAAGTATGCAGGTTCCTGCCAAATAATGCATTCCTTTTTAAATGTTCACAAATTCATTGCCGTCTACTCTCTTCCAGTATTTTGCCCACTATCAGAATTAATTGCCTGACCTGTAGTTACTCAGGCTGCTTCTTTTCCCCTGTGAACAGCACAGAGAAGGAAAAGGCAAGGTAATGGATGAATGTTATGAGGCAAAGGAAACATTTTTTATTCTGCATCTGTACATATTATGCAAATAATAAGAATAAATTCTTAGAGGCCTCTTTTGGGATTGTGTAAATGTAGGACCAGCACTGGGAACAATACTGCAGATTCTGTTAAATGTGGCTTCTCTTTCTTCAGAGATCTATCCTCTCCTCTCCTAATCTCAAGCTCAAATGATGGATATTCCCCATTTTCCATCTCTGACAGCTGCAAGTAGCCAGATCAAGTCAGCTGGGAATGCAGTTACTTCTTGAGTGGGTGTTGCTGGTTCATCTTGCTGGCCTGCTCAGTGCCTTCTTCATCAAATTGGAAAAGCAGATATTTGTCCTTTAGGGAGGGAGTTTTCATAGAAACCCAGTTCACACCAAAACAATCTCCTCAGAAGTTCCTCAGGAATGTTTGACATGGGTTCTGCTACCTGGTTGACCACAATGCAATTTTTTTTCCAGCAGGGAGTCAACAAAGCCTCAACAAGCATAAGGAAGCAGTTGGAGAGCTAGACAACAATCCTGTTTCTAAAGCCATTGCTCGCCATCTTGGCATTGATATCACTCCAGAAGGACGCGCTGCCAGAAACCGTAGGGGTATTGCTATTATAATTCATGGAGCTCCCTTTACAGGTAAATGGCTTTTCTTGGAGAACTAGAGGTATGTGTATGGAGAGACATAGCTGTTTGCCCCAAGCAGTGCCCCCTGAAATTAGATTGGGCCATTTCCACAGACTCCTCTGGTTCTTTCAATCTTTTCTATGGTAGCCAGTTCTTTTATTTAATGTTAAGAATTTGGCTTTGGTTTCCTAAGTCTTGAAAATGAATGTCCTGTTCACCTCATATAAAATATTAAATGCATGTGATTTTTAACAAGATTTTGTTATGATATAATGTTTTTCAACTTTAGGAGTGCTGGTCTCCTAACCTCCTAACTGTCCCTGCACCTATTGAATTAGACATTTTTTTGGTAAATTAATTGACTGATTCAGAACAATGATACAGTGGAGCAAGTCAGCTTTACAGAGTTATTCAACACTCTACCACTATATTTTAACATCAAACTGAAAGATATTCCACACACCTGTGGGACAAACTTTATGTGGCCTTTATGGTATCTTCAGCTCAACACTGAGGCACCTGATGAGGAAAACTGGCTGCCTTATCCTCTCAGACCAATCTGAGTTGCCCGAGGAAACCTAATATTCTCCTGCATGAGGCTTTGACCTCAGCATTATTCAACTTTGACATTAACTGTGTCTTTTGCTGTAAAGAAAGAGTGTCATTTTGGGCTTGATTGTCAGGAACAGTGGTGGGGTTCCTCTGATTGGGGACTTGTGGCTTCTGAGCATAGTGGACCTTGCTGGCTTTTATATTGAATGTAATGTAATTTTGATTTATTTTTATTTTATTTATTTATTTATTCAATTTATATGGCCACCTTATATAGCCAAGAGTCATCAATCATGCTCTCCAGTTAGAATTTTGCGCAGAAACTTCTGTCGCCTGAAAACTATCTATGGAATGCAGTTTCGGTTTTGCAAGCTGCTGCACTGCTCCCCACCTCCCTTTCTGCTGGCAACTTTAAAAGACCAGAGAAATATTTTATGAGTTGACAGCCAATACAGCTGATGTAGGCTTGGTATTACATGGCCATAATATGGTACAGTACATGCTGGACCAGCTGAAGCTTTCAAATGCTCTTTGAGGGATGCCCCATGTAGAACGTATTGCAATAATTCTAGCAGGAAGTAAATAAGGCACAAATAGTCATGAGTTGTGCCTCCTGATCCAAAGATGTACACAACTGCTACGCATGTATTACAGATATATTTATGCGAAAGCTCCCCTGGCACAGCTACCACCAGTTCCTATGTGAGTCCACGAGAACCCCCCGATTGTGCCCCAGCTTTGGAATGGAGGAGTATAATCTCATTCAGGGTTACAGTGGGAAACAATTATATCTTGGGGGGCTGAAAATTTTTTCTTCATGATCAAATCACTTTTGTCTAAGCATTGCCTTCTGTTCCTCAAGGTTCCTCTTACATCCCGTTACACTTTCCCCTCCTTGTGTCTCACTTAAATACTTTTTAATATTTCATACACATAGGGTCTGGTTTTGATTGTCTATGAAAAACTCTTTGGAGATAAAACAGTTGTTTGATCTGAACTTGCAGAATAATTTAAGTTCTGGACCACAAATCTCTAGCCTAAACAGACAAGGAAGCCCATGCTTAATTTCTCCGAACATTCCCTGTGCAACATAAAGACCTTTTATACTAGCCATATTCATTATCCTGTCTTCAGTCCTCCTGGAGATAAAATGATACAGCTACACAAGGGGACCTTTGCCCTGTTCACCTGGCCAGGGCTGGAGGTCCCTGCAGCCAGCCAGACCACTAGTTGCATTCACCTGTGGAACCTGACACAAAAATCGGTTTTCCTATTGTCCTAGCTGCATAATAGTTTGACAACAAAAGCTGCCCTTCAAGAGTGACCTCACAAGCAAAAGTGAGACTGCTGAGTATTCCACAATGGAGTAGAGCAAAATGGAGTCCTAGAGGTGAAAGCCCCTTTAGTCCCAATTTCCTTCTCTGTGTTGGAATCCCAGTTCTGGGCAGATGATTGTCCACCTCTGGATTGAACATATCTCACCCACCATTCTTCTGATTAATGGATCTACTCTCAAATTTTAGGATTATGATTTTTCTAATATTCAGACAGAATCTAAATCTGCGTGTGAAATTATAAGCTTTCTCTGAAATCCAGTTTGGAAAAAATGCTTAGTTTGTGTAGCCATTTTGAGAGTTCAGAAATGATACAAGTGTCACAATCCTTAATAATTCCAGAATTCAGAATCCTCAATGAGAGAGCCATCTTCCTGAACAAAAAAGTGTGGACCACTGGTATTTGAGTGCTAGCTGTTACAACATACGTATAGTTGCATAAGGGACTGCAGCAGCCACTGTGTAGGACAGACTGGCAGAAACTAGCAGAGCATATTAACAATCAGAAGTCATGATGAAAACTTCTTAACCTCATCACACATGGACAGACTCATCCATAGTCTCAACTGGAAAACTGAGGATCCTAGACTAGAGGTTCTCAACCTGTGCCTATGGACCCCTGCGAGACCTCAATGTCATCACAGGGTGTGTGTGGAGGCTTGAGGAAATGTTATAATTTAAATCTACAGTTAAATCTTGGAGGTCTGTAGCCATGGTCTGTGGCCACAAAAAGTATTTAAAAGGGGTCCATGTTGAAGAAAAGGTTGAGAACGATTATCCTAAACCAGGCTAAATCAAAAAATGCTAGGAAATTCCTGGAAACTTGGCACTCAGACAAATCAGCCATTAACAGGTATGTAGATATAAACAACATTCACACACCACTCAAAAGACCATGAAAAAGCTAAAAAGAAAACAAAAAGACCAGAATGCCACCCTACCAGCAGTCAGCACCCAGATAAACTGGAATTAGCACCAGGATTAAACCATTACTTTTATTTTTATGTTGTGTTTTGCTTTTTTATGTATTGTTACTTTCTAAGAGTCATCATTTTAAAATGGGTAACTATTAAAATAATTAAAATAAATCAATAACATAGAATCAAGATTTAAGTCTTGATTGTATGTTATTCATTTATTTAAATTATGGTGGCAAGAGAATCCAGGTGTATCTGTGTTTGAGAACTTTTATATCTTCCATTTCCCCAGGGAAGACTAGTGCTGCTGTAGTCCTGGCGAAACACTACAGTGCAGCTTGCTTGTCCATTGACTCGGTGGTCCTGGAAGCCATCTCAGATGGCAGTAGTTCAGCAGGGCTTCGTGCACGGGAACTCTGCATCCGAGCTGCTATTGAGCAGGCCCAGCGAGAAAACGACGATGGTGGTAAGCAAGACAATGAGTTCTGGGGAGTTCGGCATGACCGCATGTTTCCAAACAAACCTTGCTTTCCTCCCCTCTAACCTCTGTCTGTGGTTTTGGCTTCTCTCAAGAAGCTTGTCAATTTTCAGAGTCAACTTTTGCTAAACGCTTGCATTCTAGAGATGTGTTCCAGTTTTCTTAAATGTAATCCTTTCCTCCAGTCTGAAATGCACTGACAGTGTAACAATGGACAAGTGCATCAGAATCTATGGGAATTGTAAATCCTGGATGACTGCCGTGGTACGTACACTTCTGAGAGCCCGGGATTCTGCCTTTAAGGCAGGGGACAGGGACATATATAGAGAGGCCAGGGCAAACCTTAAAAGAGGCATTAAGATGGCAAAACAACAATACAAATATAAGGTGGAGAAACATCTAGCAGATAACAACCCAAAGGAAGTGTGGCAGGGACTGCAGCACCTAACTAACTATAAGGGCAACACGAGGAACATGGTCAGCGCTGATAGAGGAGTTGAACATCTTCGTTCTCTATGAGTGAAAAGACCAGATCCCATAACCTGTCATGCCCCTGTTGGAATCTGATTCCAAGGGGTTGGCCAAGCAGCTGACAGGGAGTGAGAGTGTGGCTCCGTTGGCTGTGGAAGAAACTGGGGAAGGGCACAGTCTGCCTGGGCAGAGCAGGGTAGAGGTAGAGCAAGGCAGAGGGAATTCAGAGGAAGATCCAGGCCCACCCCCTCTTTATCCTAGGGCATGCAGGGAGGAACAGAGAAGGGAGCAACATGAGTTGTGTGGCTTACGGGGGAGGAAAAGGCCCTGATTCCCTTCATTAGCTGCAGCTAGGAACACAGTTTTAAAAAGGGAATTTGCACACAGCAACTTGTTGGAAGCAAATTGTGAGTTATCTTTTATTGTCGAGGCTTATCTGGGTTCCTGGCATCTTCCCAACTGTGTGTGTTTTGTTGGCCTTTGAAGTCTGCAATTCCTTATACTGCCCTGTCCAGTTAATTGCTGCAGTGTGGTTTGTGTGGATTTTTATTTACAGTTTATATGTACTTTGTTTTCGGACTGAATATCTTCCACATAAAGACTGTTCTTGGGAGATTTTTTTCTTCACCCGAAGGTAACTGGATATTGGGGGCAAAGTTGGAGGTATTAAAGGGACTCTTCTTGCTTATGTGACTGTGTTGCCTTTGTGCCACGTCATCACATAGCCTCTGCCTGCTGGCTTTCTGATTCCCAGCCACTCACTTTATACGAACACCAAGTGAGAACTGCATTGAAGGCTGCATTGAAGGCTGCAAAGCTGCAGGTCCAAATGTGGTGCTGGGGATAGTGGTAAAGACTAATTAGCTAGATAGTGGTAAAGACTAATTAGTGCCAACAAGTGACAAGGATCTCCAACATCTCCCTGCAAACAACCTGTGTTCCTCATGCTTGAAAGCAGCCACTTTTGTCCCAGTCCGGAAGAAAACAGCAATTAACTGCCTAAACAACTACAGACCTATTGCATTAACGTCTGTAGTGATGAAATGCTTCGAAAGACTGGTTCTCCAACACCTTAGGGAATGCATCCCATTGGACTTTGACAAACATCAGTTTGCCTACAGGGGGAACAGGTCGACAGACGACGCTATAGCTACTGCCTTACATTCTGTAGCGAGCCATCTGGAGAAACCTGGAAACTGCTCGGCCTTCAATACTATCCTGCTGAGCATCCTTATTGAAAAGCTGAATGACTTGGATTTTCCCTCTTCCATCTGCGACTGGATCAAAATCTTTCTGAGGGACCGACCACAAACTGTGAGGGCTGGGTCTGTCACATCCACCTCACTGAAGCTTAGCACCGGCTCCCCACAGGGCTGTGTGCTCAGTCCCTACCTGTACTCACTATACACACATGATTGTGTATTGTCTGACCCATTCACTGTGACCATTAAGTTCGCAGATGATGCCACCATATTGGGTCTCATTACAGGTGGAGATGAAACAGCGTACAGGGGGGAGGTTCAAAAATTATCCTCATGGTACCTAGAAAACAATCTGCACCTAAACATCAAGACAAAGGAGATGGTGTTAGACTTCCAGAAGAAGAGAGAGGAACCCGCCCCACTTTACATCAGGGGGGCTGTGTGGAGAGAGTTTCCTGCTTTAAATTCCTGGGAATCTACCTCAGCAAAGATCTTATCTGGAAAAGGTAAGATCTTTGGGGGGTCATAAATCATTAGTGAAGGACCTTCTTCAAAGCAATGGAGTACATTCCTCCCCCCAAGTCACAAGGCTGATTCAAGCAAGCTATTTGAACAAAATAATTCAAGGAGCAATTTCTTTTGTTTAAAAGCCTAACATTTCTTCATCTCCTCCTCTCTTTATAAAAAAATAAAAGCATAACACAGCCACAGTGCATGCAACTTACTGAAGTATTTTTCCTAATGAATTTTTCCCTTCCATCGAAATCGGCTGACACTCAACTATTAGCTTGCAGCACCATCTGAAGTAGGCAATAAATTCCTTTGGGCAATCAGCAAACTTCATAGCCATGAGGCTCACCCCCTAAAGAGAGAAATCAGACTCAAGTAAAGCAGCCTATACCCCATCTGGTGGTCAAGAAGAAATTTACAGTGAAGTTAAAGAATTCTTACCATTTTTTTTCCTTTTTTCAAGAGTGGGCAAGGAAGTTCCCCCCTCTTTTTCTCTTCAGCCCACTGCTACATCTGGGGCTCAAAGAAAAATCTCCCTGAAACTATTGTGGACAATTTAATCAATTTAATTCAAATGTCCCAAGAATTACTGCAACCTAACATGGGCATAGCAACAGCGTCTTCCTGACCCTCTGCTGCCACCTTGTGAAGCAAGTGACAATAATAGGCATATTTCTGTGTTCGGCCCTGAAGTCTTCAGACTACACTACGCATATTTCTGCGTTCAGCCCTCTAGTCTTCAGACTTCGCGATGCAACCTCTAGTGCCCCCTTGTGTTGCAAGCTCACAATGCACCCTAGAAGTGGCCATATTGTGTGCTCTGCTAGCATCGCCCAGACTCTGCAGTGCCACCTACATGCTCAAGTATTAAATCCAGCTGCTACCTGCTTGCAGTGCCCACTAGTACAAAAAAGGTAATTGCATGGAAAACCACTAAAATTTTCCAAAATTCTCCCTTTGCCAAGCATGGCAACTTCCTCAGCCATGACAGATGTCTCTGATGTACCAGAAGACCTGATTCCTCCATCCACCCTTGTTGTAAACGTGGAGCTGATTCCTGACACCCAGTTTTAGATGTCCAACCCTCTGGAGAAGCCGCAATACCTCAGAAGGCCTACGACCTCAGACAGCATAGGAAGCTTACCTCACCCGCGGTGACACGCTTCAGAGAGGATTGGGAAAGGCAGTATCACCATCATGCATGGACGGAGCTGGTCAAGATCTGTGACACGCCCAAAAGCAAGTTGCCCTTCGAGAGCCTCTTCCTGATGCAGAAGGAGTTAGAGGAACACCTCGCACGGTGGAGAGACAGTGAAAATAAGTTTAAATACATACAGTCGAACCTGGAAGACCCAGAGTTCCAGGAACACTCATTGCTTCAAGGAGGCAAACAAAGAACGCGAAGACAGCGTTTGGGAAGGTAGAAACTCCCTCGAGGCCACGCTCCTCATTGCGCTACAGAAGGAGCAAATACCAAGGGAGAAGTCCACATCTGACATAGGTCTTCAATCACAAGCAGCTTCTTCCCACCATTCTAAGAAAGCCTCCTCCCTCCATCCCAAATCGGCTAGATCACAGGCAGTTTCCAATGTCTCGCGCCAATTCTCTGCTGCCAGTAGCGGCTCAGCAGGCTGAAATAGTGGCTCAACAGGCAGAAATAGCGGCCAGACAACAGGCAGAAATAGCCAAAGCCCAGGCCAGACAACAGGCAAAACTAGCCAAAGCCCAGGCCAGACAACAGGCAGAAATGGCCAAAGCGCAGGCCAAATTGGAGTTGGCCAAACGGCAAAGAGATGCCTCAACAAAGATGGCATGTGCCGCAACATGGCAGAAGATGGCCGACAACACCTCCCTCCGATTTGCCCTCGAACAGTTGGGAGAAGAGAGCCCAGATACACGGGTCAAAGCCTACGTGGACGAGCAGCTCTCGCTACAAAATGAGCAGATGGAACCGCCTCAATTGCCTAGCAGTCTCCCTCAACCAGGGAAGCACAGGGATGAATCTCAACCACAGACTCTACATATCAGTTACGCGACTGACATTGTATGACCTAAAGTACGAGATTCACTTCCCACCAACAGCAAACCTTCCCCAATTGATGTTGTACGTACTAAGGTCCGAGATTCTCTTCCCAGCACCAGCAACTCTACCGCAACGTCTCACACCCTGCTAGCCAAGCAATTTAGCCCACCAGTGCTTACAACGACTTCTTGACGAGTCAATATGCCATCAACGACAACTGCCACACTCAATCCACAGGCAGCAGCGTTCCTGGCACAACCTCCAGGCAGGGAGTGTGCTGTCCCAGCCAGTCTATGGGAATTGGATAGTTACTTAGGAATTATGAGCTGTCCCCTTAAGGGAATGCATCGTGGTAAATGTAGTTAAAGGTATCCTGGGAAATGTAGTTCATGTCACATGGCCACATCTGTAATCCTGATTGGTCACTAAATTGACCCTCGAAGGGTTGGGGGGAGGTTTTCCTCACTTTTGTCTGAACTCTCTAACTGATGGCAGCTTCTTTCTATCGCTACGAAATGTGTTAGGAGATAACCATCTTTTACTACAAGGCAGATATACAAAGGATTGGTCATTAAAGAAAAACTTCATCACAAACGTGAGTTATGAGGATACCTGATGAACCAATAAATGTAATTTGTTATGGTCGTTTTGTTGAGTTATCTATCTGCATCTGTACAGCTTCAAATCCACCTCTGTGCAGAAGGCAGAAAAATAATCACACCAGAGTCTTAGATCTTAAAAGAGCTGATTTTAATAAACTCAGAGAGAACTTGGGAAAGATT